CCAAATTCTCTCCCTCCCTCACCCCTTAAGAAGGCAAGCAATAAGATATCGATTATACGTGTGAAGTCATGTAAACATTTCCATATGAGTCATGTTTGTTGCAAAAGAAAACACACATGCACAAAAATAATAAAGAAAATCCAAAAAAATTATGCTTTAATTTGCACTGAAATTTCATCAGTTCTCCTGGAGATGGAGAGGACTTTTCAAAATGGGTATTTTGGCATCATCTTGGATCGGTTTCTTGATTAGAGTAGCTAAGTCTTTCACAGTTGATCATCATTACAATATTGCTGTTACTGTAGTCAATGTTCTCCTGGTTCTGCTCACTTCACTTTGAATCAATTCATATAAATCTTCCCACGTTTTTCTGAAAGCATACTGCTTATCATTTTTATAGCACAATAGTATTCCATCACAATCATATACTATACCTTATTTAGCCATTCCCCAACTGATAGGCATCTCCTCAATTTCCAATTTTTTGCCACCACATAAAGCTGCTATAAATATTTTTGTACAGATAGGTCCTTTTCCCTTTTCTTTGAGCTTTGTGGAACACAGACCTAGTAGTGATATTGACTAGCTATTATTCTTTGGAAGGGCTGTTTGTGAGGTCTGTTGTCCTTTAACAAAATTTTTTAAATTCTGAAATTAAATACCCCCCCAAAAAACCCCTACATGTCCATATGCACAGAAGAAAACAAAAAGATGAATGTGTATGAAACAATGAATCTCTAGCCTATACTGCTTGTTTTTTTTAAAGATATATAATACATTTACTATATTACTTCCAAAACTATCCTTCTTGTCTGTACTTCCTTCTGAACTCCCTTCTGTTGTCTAATGTGTGTTTTAAAAAAAGTTTCAATGTCCCTTGTTTTGGCATCACTATTGCCCCTCCACCTTCCAATTAAGAAGCAAGAGGGGAAAAAAAATCCCTTGTAACAAATAAGCATGGTCAAACAAAATAAATCCTCATGGTGTACATATCTAATAACACTTGTCTCTGCATCTGTCAGGAGGTGGAATAACATGCTTCTGTCCTCTGCAGACATGGTAGGTTATTGCATTGATCAGAATTCTTAAGTCTTTCAAAGTTGTTTTTCTTTACAATGTCATTGTCCTTGTATAAGTTGCCCTGGTTCTGATCTTTTCATTCGACAACAATTCAAACTACCCAGGATTCTCTGAAATTATAATTTGTCTCATTTCTTAATTATACGCTTCAATTTGTATAGCTGCATACCAATTTATGGGCATCCCCTTAGATTCTGATTCTTTTCTTTTTCAATCCACCCTTCAGCTAGTTTTGCCTGTGATTATTGCCTCCCTCTTAACTATCCTCTTTCTATCCCAATTTGTTTTCTATTGAATTTGATATATGAAACTCTTTTTATGTGAGTAAATGGGTATATCGTATGTATTTCACCCTCCTTGGTCCATTTTAGTTGAATAAGATTCATCAGATTGCATTTTACACTACTTCCTCCATGTTTACAATACTTTCCTAATTATAAGAAATATCACGTTCCATTCCCTTCTTCCTTCTTTTTGCACTTGTGTACTTCTCTCACAGTCCCTTCTTTTCTCCACTTCAGACAAAACCAATCTATCCCCCAGGTCTTCTGTTTTTCTCATTTAACTCCCTCAATACCCTTTGAAGACATGAAGGCTTGGAAGGGACTCTGGTCTCTCCTCCCCCTAATTAGAACATTTTTGCATTAAGAAATGCTATAGGGGGCAGCTAGGTGGCGCAGTGGATAGAGCGCCGGCCCTGAAGTCAGAATGACTTAAGTCCAAATTCAGCCTCAGACCAAACACTTGACACTTACTAGCTGTGTGACCCTGGGCAAGTCACTTAACCCCAATCGCCTAAAAAAAAAAAAGCTAAAGCCCCTTCTAATCACTCAGATTTGGCTTTAAGTTTGCATTTCAAAGTTCTTACTCAGTCAAGTGCTTGAAAGTCCTCCATTCCATTAAAGGTATATATTTTTCTCTTCAACTTATTCTTGGTTGTAAGCCTATATCCTTTGCCTTTTAGAATATTATATTCTAAGCTCTCCCCTTGTTTATAATAGAAGCTGCCAGATCTTATGTGATCCTGACAGTGGTTTCTCGGTACTCGAACTGCTTCTTTCTGGATGTTTATAATAATTTTTCATTGATATGGGAGCCCTGGATTTGGGTTGTGATATTCCTGAGACTTTTCCTTGTAAGGTTTCTTGCAAGAAGTGATCAGTAGATTCTTCCTATCTTCACTTTGCCCTCTGGTTCTAAGAGATCTGAGCAGTTATGTATCATTTCTTGAAATATCGTCTTTTTTCTTGACTAGGTTTCCCTATCTCACTCAGGCTGGAAGTGTGGGGGGGAGGGGTTACTAATGGGCCAGTTCCACTCAGATCTGCACAGAAGTTTTAACCCATTGTTTCCATCCTGGACTGGTTCACCCCTCTATAAACAGTCTGTTGTGCCTCCTCACCTCCCTCCTGGGGGCTCATCATATTACTGCAGAATTTAGTTCAGTGGCTAGACTACAGCAAAACTCCTGAGCTCAAAAAATCTGACAGCCTCAGCTTCCCAGGTTAACAGAGATTACAGATATGCACCACCATGTCTAGAGTCCATTGATTCTTAAATTATCTCTTCTTTTCCTATTTTGCAGGTCTTTAATATCAGATATATTATACTTTATTCTTTTTTTTTACTTTTTAAATTTTTTTCTAATATTTCTTGCTGCCTCTTGAAGTCAGTGATTTGTTTGTTCTATTAGTTTTCAGGGAGTCTGCTACTTGGGTAAGGTTTTTACCACTTTCTTTACTTAGCCATTTATTCCCCTTCCAATTATTTTTTCCTCCACAGCTTTTATGTCAGTTTTAAATAAGTATCATTTTACCACATAGTTCTTGAGGAAATTCCTTTTTTTCCTAACCTTTAAGTCTCTGTTTTCAGCTGTTACTTTTTTTTTTAATTTTTAGGCAGTTGGGGTTAAGTGACTTGCACAGGGTCACACAGCTAGTAAGTGTCAAGTGTTTGGTCTAAGGCTGAATTTGAACTCGAGTCCTCCTGACTTCAGGGCCGGTGCTCTATCCACTGCGCCACCTAGCTGCCCCACAGCTGTTACTTTCTAGGCTGGATTTTTTTTACATCTCTGGGCCTACAATAATTTATGGTGGTTGTTCGTCTTCTTTGGTTTACTTATCTCTCTGGCTTTAATTCCTACACCAGGGCTTCATACAAGGACCTATGTCTGCCCTCTTTTGTGCTTTGGCCTGTGTGGTCTAGTCTTGGGTCACCTGGGTTTCTACGCTGACCTCAGCCTCCCAGGGCTAGGCCTCTTTCTTGAGGTCCTTGCTGGCATTTCAGAACAGAGTTCTAGGAATATCTGGGTGATCCAAGTCTGAGCACTGCTATAACACAGTTTTCAAGGTCCTCTCTGTGGGTTTCTGACTACAGCCCCCTAAGACTTTCTCAGGGGACCCCCTCTGCTCTTGTTCCGTCCAGACACAGAGCATTACAGACCAAACATACCTATGGCCCATCTCTGTTCATACTGGGAAGCTACGGGATGATTGTGTTGGCACTATCTTTGCTTGGATGCTCTCTTTCCTATTGCCAGAGGATAGAAACCCAGTCAGAATATGGTAGGCAAGGCTGAGGAGAATAATTCCTTCCATGCTGGGTGCTGGGTGGCAACTCAAAGCTAACTGCCATTTTATTAAAAAGAAACAGGATAGGTAAAAATTAGAGAGGTGAGGTACCTCTCAACATTGTATTTTAGTATAATGTGTATAATCAGGGGAAGTCTGATCATCCCTTTGTTATGGAAGGGAGGGGAAAAGATCAGAACCCCTCTCTCCCATAAGTTCTGGCTAGAGTATACCCTATAGAACATGGGTAGATCTGGGCCCCTTCTGATGATAGAATTGTTTTGATCCGGGTGGACTATGTATGGTATCTTCCTGCTGAAACACTTGGTGCTTTGGGGTCATACAATAAACCCTAGGCAATGTCCCCTGGTCCCCATAATGGCATCAGGGAGAGGTAGATAGTTCTGAAAGGACTGGCCATCAAACCAGAAAGAGCCTAGCATTCAATAGACCATAAAGACAGTGACCTTCCCCTTTAGACTTATTCATAGATGTAGTGATACCACTCATTCATACCAAAATTTCTAGTGGTTCCCAATGGCTTGCAAAATGAAGTTCGGATTTCTTTGCCTGAAATTTAAGGCCGTCCATAATCTGATACCATCCTACTTTTCCAAACTAATCTAATTCTGGCTCTGCCACTTATACTTGTGTGCTCTTAAGCAAGCCACTTCACTCACTGAGCCTCAGTTTCCTTATCTGTAAAATAAGACTACCTAGTATAAGGTCCCTTCTAGCCCTGAAACTATGCTATGTTTGTATTACTTTCTTCTAAATACTCTTATGATCCAGCCAAACTGGACTAATCTCTCGGTTCCCCAAAGGTGCCTTGGGCACACTATGCCTGGAATGTCCTCCCAAGCCCACTTTGCCTCCTGAATTCCTACCCAGCCTTTCAAGCCTAAAATAAACATCACGTCCTGAAAGGAGCTTCCCTGATCATCCCCTTTCTCAGCTCATCTTTATCCTTCAAATGATACATAGCATTTTGCTTTTCCGCACTTTGCAGAAATGATCGCGTGGTATTTTGTATTGTATTTTATTTTGTGTCTTATTCTTCTACTGGATTTTAAGCTCATGGGAGCTTGGCCAACATTTTATCTAAGCCTTGTATTTCTCCAGCACCTAATTTAGGGCTCTACCTCAGCACCTTGGTAATTGTTTGTTGAATGAATGAACATATGATATCAAGTTAAAAGGTTTTATTAGTGGTCATGGCAGCAAGCACAGAGAAATATTCTCTCCACAAAGGAAGGTAAAAAACCAAAGCTCTTTGTGCAGGTTTGGTGAATGGTCTAAGACCCTAACCTTCCCAGAATGGAAAAACAAAGAAAGCAGCTTTCTGGTTTCTCACAGAAGCTTTGGAGAAGTGCTCTTTGCTCTTCTCCAAGCTATGGTAGACATGGTGAGGCTCTGGGTTCTCTCATTACTGGAAAATTGTCTTCAAAATAACCTGCAACAGGAAGAAGTAGTGACCTTAGAGCTGGAGAGGCTGACATAAACTGAACAAGGAGGATTGGAACTGGGAAGTGGAGAGGGAAGGTCTCTTGAACGTAAGAGTGGTGGAGTGGGATGGGAAGGAGATTTAGAATAGATTTGGTGGAGAAATGAGGGAGGATTGAGACTAAAGGATAAAATTTATTAAGCACCTACCACACTCCTGATACCATTCTAGGTGCTGAGGATACCAAGACAAAATAACAACAATGACAACAATGCTATCCTACCTGAGTCAGTATATATTCATTCTGAATCAGTTTCTCAATGATGTCAAAGTGATCCACATTGGAGATTTCTATAAATGAAACTCTCCACCCCTGTAAACGCAGAACCTGTAGAGAGGGAAAAAAAAAGCTAACGGGATAGATTTTTAACGAATTAGGAATGTTGCAAGTGGCTGGCAAAGAGGGAGGAAAAGGAAAGATCATAAGAAAATGACTGGGAACCAAATTATCAATATCAAAAATAAAAAGGGTGAATTCACTATCATTGAAGATGAAATTAAAGCAATTATTAGGAGCTATTTTGACCAATTATATGCCAACAAATCTGACAATCTAAGTGAAATGGATAAATATTTACAAAAATACAAATTACCCAGATTAAAATAACATGAAATAGAGTACTTAAATAACCCTATCTCAGAAAAAGAAATTGAACAAGCCATAAACGATTTCCCTAAGAAAAAATCCTCAGGACTAGATGGATTACAAGTAAATTTTATCTAACATTTAAAGAACAATTAATTCCAATTCAATATAAACTATTTGGGAAAATAGGCAAAGACGGAATCCTACCAAATTCCTTTTATAACATAAATATGGTGCTGATACCTAAACCAGGAAGAGAGAAACAGAGAAAGAAAACTATAGACTGATCTCTCTATGAATGTAGATGCAAAAAATTTAAATAAAATACTAGCAAGGAGATTACAGCACTATATCACAAAGATCTTACACTATGACCAGATGGGATTTATACCAGGAATGCAAAGCTGGCAAAAACTATCAGCATAATTGACCATATCACAATAACAAAACCAACAGAAATATGTCTCAATCGATGCAGAAAAATCTTTTGATAAAATATGACACTCATTCCCTACTAAAAACACTAGAAAGCATAGATCTCCCCTTCAAATGATAAGTATTATCTATCTAAAACCATCAGCAAGCATTATCTGTAATGATGATAAGCTAGCAGTCTTAATAAGATCAGGGGTGAATCAAAGATGTCCATTAACAGGATTACCACTCAATAGTGTACTAGAAATGCTAGCTATAGTAATAAGACAAGAAAAAGAAATAGAAGGAATTAGAATAGCCGATGAAGAAACAAAACTATGATATCATGGTATACTTAGAGAATCCTAGAAATCAACTAAAAATTAGTTGAAACAATTAAAAACTTTAGCAAAGTTGAAGATGTAAAATAAACCTATGCAAATCATTAGCATTTCTACATATTACCAACAAAGTCCAGAGACAGAAAGAGATAGAAAAGAAAGGAACAGAGAAAGATATAGAAAAAGAAATTCCATTTAAAATAACTGCAGACAAAATAAAATACTTGGGAGTCTACCTGCCAAGGCAGACCCAGGAACTATTTGAACACAATTACACTTTTCAAACAAATAAAGATAGAGCTAAACAATTGGAGAAATATTGTTCATGGGTAGGCAGAACCAATAAAAAACAATTCTACCTAAATCAATTTGCTTATTCAGTGCCATACCAATCAAACCACCAAAAATTATTTTATAGAGTTAGAAGAAATAATAACAAAATTCATGGGGAAGAACAAGCAAATCAATGAAAAAAAAATGTGAATGAAGGTGGTCTAGCAGTACTGCATTTCAAACTGTATTACAAAGCTATAATCATGAAAACAATCTGGTACTGTTAAAAAATAGAGTGGTAGATCAGTGGAACAGATTAAGGATATACTACCTAGTAGTAAATGATAACAGCAATCTAATGTTTGATAAATACATAATTCCATGCTTTTGGGAGAAGAACTCACTATTTGACAAAAATTGCTGGGAAAACTGGAAAGCAGTTTGGCAGAAACTAGGTAGACACCAACATCTCACACTGTATACCAAGATAAGATCAAAATATATACATGATTTAGATATAAAGGATGATATCATAAGCAAATTAGGGGAATGTGGAATATTTTACCTGTCAGATCTACAGAATTTATGACCAAATAAGAGATATAGAGCATTACAAAATATAAAATGGGTAATTTTGACTACATTAAATTAAAAAGGTTTTGCACAAATAAAACTAATGCAGTCAAGATGAAGAAAAGCAGAAAACCAAGAAAAAAAATTAACAGCATGTTTCTCTGACAAAGCCCTCATTTCTAAAATATATAGAGAACTGAGTCAAATTTATACAAATACAAGTCATTCACCAATTAATAAGTGGCCAAAGAATGTGAACAGGCAGTTTTCAGAAGAAGAAATTTTGAAACTATAGATTTTGAAACTCAAAATTTTTAAAAATTACTGTTAATTTTTTTTTACATATAACTGGGCAATATTTAATGAAGCTATCTATAGTCATATGAAAAAATGTTCTAAATCACTATTGATTAGAGAAATGTAAACTAAAATATTTCTGAGGTATGACCTCACACCTATCAGATTGACTAATATGACAAAAAAGGAAAATGACAAATGTTGGAGAAGATGTGGAAAAATGTTTTGTTGGAGTTGTATACCATCCAACCATTATGGAGAATAATTTGGAACTACACCCAGAGAGCTATAAAACTGTGTATACCCTCTGACCCAGCAATACCACTGTAGGTCTGTATCTCAAAGAATTCAAAGAAAAAAGAAAAGGATATATTTGTACAAAATTATTTATAACAGCTCTTCTTATGGTGGCAAAGAATTGGAAATTGGAAGGATGGTCTTCAGCTGGGGGATGGCTGAACAAGTTGTGTTATATGATTGTGATGGAATATGATTGTGCTGTAAGAAATAACAAAGGGATGGTTTCAGAAAAAACCAGAAAGAACTATATGAACTGATGCAAAGTGAAGTGAGCAGAACCAGAAGAACATTGTACACAATAACAACAATATTGTAAGGATGATCAATTGTGAGAGACTGGGATACTCTGACTAAGACAATAATCTAAGACAAATCCAAAGGACCCATGATGAAAAATTCTATCCATCTCCAGAGAGAGAACTGGTGAACTCTAAATGCAGATTGAAGCATACTTTTTTTACTTTATTTTTCTTAAGGTTTTTTTTGCATGTTTTCTTTTGCAGCATTGCTAATATAGAAATATGTTTTGCATTACTTCACATGCATAATTGATATCAAATTGCCTGCCTTCTCAGGGAGGGAAGATAAGAGAAACTCAAAATTTTTTAAAATGACTGTTAAATTTTTTTTTACATATAACTGAGAAATATTTAATGAAATACATGAAAATATATCTTAATAGGAAAAAAAAGGAAAACAATTGGGAATTGGAATCCAAATTAGGAAGCACAAAACTATGCTTCCCTTCTTTCCCAACTCCCCCCCATGAGGAAAGAGAGGAACAACACAAGGAAAATAAGACCACCTGAAAATAATCCAAGGACTGTCGGTGGAACTCAGGAGAATCATGCTGGCCCACGGCTACTATTAATTCACAAGTTGAAGTTACTTGACTCTGGGCCTTCTTCTGGCAAAACATGGGACTATTCCTCTGGGCATCTTCCCTGAAAGTGGAGTGGAAAAAGGACAAGAGCAGGGAAGGGAAACAGAAAGTCTTAATTTTACCCTCCAGCAGTGTCAGAAGACAGGAAGGGAATATATTGGTGGTCTGTGAAACCTTGGAAGCTTCCACATGTGTGCTGCAGGAGGGGAGTAAATGCCATATAGGTTGGGACAGAGGAGATGACTAACTCACAAGGTCATTTGAAGTACATCGTTGACATAAGTATGCACGATAGGCTCCAGGTCATAGATTCCGCTCACCAAGAAAAAGCCTATGAATTGAAAAACAAATATCAATACAGAGTACAGCATGAATGGGGAGGGGCCAAGCCAATTTTTTGTGTCTAGGATTCCTAACGTAAATAGCCATTTAGAAATATTCATGGGGCAGCTAGGTGGTACAGTGGATAGAGTTCCGGCCTTAGAGTCAGGATGACTTGAGTTCAAATGTGACCTCAGACACTTGACACTTACTAGCTGTGTGACCCTGGGCAAATAACTCCATTTGCCTTGCCAAAAAGAAAAAAAAAAAAGAAATATTCATTCAGTTTGTGAGTGTTAGAACAAAACAATATCACATTGTCAATTGAGTACTGACAGAACTTGGCATTAAAAACCTGGTTTCTGTTCCAGCTTGGATACCAATTAGCCATGTGACCTTGGGCAAAATCATAATCTCTTTGAGTTTGTTTCCTCAGCTATGAAATGGAGATAATGCTACTTGCTTTGCATGCCTCATGAGGTTAGGGGTGTAATGCAACAATCTGGTCCTACTCTCAAGAATCTTAACAGTCTTGTAGTTGACAAAAGACACCTTCACAAGAAAACCAAACAAAACAGTAGAAAGGGTAAGTGCCTTTTTCATGGTTAGTCAATAGTCAAGGCAGAATATGAATCTTTCTTGGTTCCAAACCCAATCAACGCTTTTTCTAGCATATTAGGGCAAAGTAGAGGTAGCTATTTAGAAGAGATATTTTTTCAATGACTTTTAACTAGTTACTATTGCAACATAAGACGGTAGTATTTGGAGAAAGGAAAACCTAGGAGCAAATCCCACTTATGACAATTACTAGCTGTGTGACAATCTGTCTTAACTTCCCCAGAGACTTATATGTGAAGTTATGAATGAAGTTATTGAAATTTGCATCAGTGAAGGGAGTTTCCAGACCATTGACATCACAGATTCTTTGACACGTTGATTAATCTCAACAGAATCACCAACACCCTCTGTACTGTACTGCTCCACCTTCTAAGGGACATCAGTATCTATCAAAGAAGGGAATGTAAGGTGTGAACTCAGGGGAGACCTTGGTTCAGGCCCTGCCTCCAATGCTAACTAGCTATGTGACATCTGGCAGGTCACTTGGCCTGTTTTCTCTTTGTAGCTCATAGTGCCAATCTCACAGAATTCTTGTGAGGACTAAGTGATACAGTGAATATGAAGTGCTTTGCTTCAGCACCATAGTGTTGTCAATTGTTATTGCCTAGTTAATTTTGTTTGGCTTACCTAAAAGACTATTTCTGTATTTGTTATTGTGTCTGGAGCTAAGTCTTTTTAAGTTTTTTGCTTATTGAGTCCATATAATAGCAGCTCTAAGTCAAGAGATAATGGACCCTGAGGACTTCCGCTTCTGGTAGCCAAGATGGTGGAGTAAAAAGGTAGTTGCTCTCACCCTCCCCTATCAACCTCTGAAAACCCAGAAAATGTCACCCCAGAAAAAAAAACCCTGGAACAGCTGAACTAGAAGAAAGACGGGGAATAACAAATGCAGAAGCCCAGCAAACAGGTCTCCCAGTGCCTCAGCAAAAATAAGGGAAGCAGCACTACAAAGGAGTCTTCCTAAAGTCCCAGCCTTGCTGATTCCAACCCAATACCAGGTAAGCTGTCAGAACCCTACAGCCTCCAACTGTCAACCAGGAGGAGATCCTGAAGCCCAGGTGGTAGAGCAGGCAAACACCAACACCTGGACCTTCGAGTGCCTCAGTGAGGGGTGGGGGAACCATTGGAAACCAGCTCAGAAAACCACCTGGTGCCTCGGCAGTATATCTCAAAGGAATGTCCCAGTGCATTAGCAGAAAGGAGGGAGGCAGCATTGCAAGGGGCCCCAGGCAGATAAACACCCTGCAGTACCCATCTAAAAGGAGCTGAAGAAAGCTAAAGGAAAGGAAAAGCAGGCAACCTGAGAGTTCCAGCCTTGCTGATTCCAGCCCAACACAAGGTAAGCTTCCAGAACCCTACAGCCTCCAATTGCCAACATAAGAGGCCCCAGCACACAAAGCCAGTGACCAAGACCTAGGCTCCCAACACAAGAAGCTTGGGTCAGTGCCCTCTGTTCCCCAGCAGGAGAGCTCAATCTCTTTAAAGGCCAGGGAATAAAGAAACCATGAGTAAAAAGAAAAGTACCATAGATTCATATTATGAGAACAGTGAAGATCAAGACAGAAATTCTGAAGAGGACAACATTGTCAACAAACCCACTTCTGCAACATCAAAAGGGAATATGAACTGGTCTGAAGCCCAAAAAGCCTTCTTAGAAGAGCTCAAGAAGGATTTTAAAAGTCTAATGAGAGAGGTAGAAGATACAATTGGCCAATTGGAAAAAAAGTACACTGAAGAAAACAAATCCCTTAAAAATACTATTGGCCAATTGGAGAAGGAAGTACAAAAACTAACAGAAGAAAACAATCTGTTAAAAACTAGAATTGGACAAATGGAAACTAATGACTCTATGAGAGAGAGAATCAGTCAAACAGAAACAGAAAAATGAAAAAATAGATGAAAACATAAAATACCTCATTAGTAAAACAACCGACCTGGAAAATCAATCCAGGAAAGACCATTTAAAAATTATTGGACTACCTGAAAATCATGATGAAAAAAAGAGCCTGGACAGTATCTTTCAGGAAATCATAAAAGAAAACTGCCCTGAAGTCCTAGAAACAGAAGTTAAAATAACCGTAGAAAGAATACACCGCTCACTACCTGAAAGAGATCCCAAATTGACAACGCCAAGGAATATAATAGCAAAATTCCAAAATTACCAGATGAAAGAGAAGGTGCTGCAAGCAGCCAGAAAGAAACAATTAAATATCATGAAACCACAGTCAGGAATACACAGGATACGCAGCTTCTACATTAAAAGACAGTAGGGCGTGGAACATGATATTCCGTAAGGCAAAGGAGCTTGGATTGCAGCCAAGGATCAACTACCCTGCAAAAACGACCATGATTTTTCAAGGGAGGAGATGGATATTCAGTGAAATAGGGGACTTCCAAACTTCCTGATAAAAAGAACAGAGCTCAACAAAAAATTTGATATTCAAGTACAAGATTCAAGAAAGACATAAAAAGGTAAATGGGACAGAAAGATACAATATGTTGTTAATAAAGGCGGACTGTTTACATCCCTACAAGGGAAGATAACACTTGCAACTCTTGAGAACTGTACTGTTATTACACCATGTTAAAGGAGTATACATAAAGGTGGTGGATATTAGTTGACTTTGATGTAATGATAAAAAAAAAATCTAATCAAGTGGGTTAAATGGATCCAAGTAAGTGGATTAGTCTGATCTTAGAAAATGTACTGAGAAAGAAGGAGGCAGACAAGGGTAAATTACGCTACAGGAAAAGACAGAAAATCCTATTACAGCAGGGGGCAGTGAGCATTGTTTGAACCTTACTCTCATCAGATCTGGCTCAAGATTATGTTATTACATAATCAGTTAGGTATAGAAATCTAACTTGCCCTATAGGCAGTAGGAGGGAAAAGGAGAAAGAAAAGGGAGGGGGGATAGAAGGGAAGGAAGAAGCAGTAAGGGAAAGGGGAAGAAAAGGTAAAGGGATAATAGAAGGGAGGAGAGACTGAAGTGGGCGGTGGTCAAAAGCAAAACACTAGTGGGGGGGGAGAAAGGAGAAAGAAAAGCATAAACAGGGGGAAAAAGGATGGAGAAAAAGACACAGATAGTAATCATAACTGAATGTGAATGGAATGAACTCTCCCATAAAATAGAAGCGGATAGCAGAATGGATTAAAAACCATAATCCTACAATATGTTGTTGGCCTAGTGATGGAAAATGCTATCCACATCCAAAGAAAGAACTATGGAAGTTGAATCACTATCTTTTTTTTCTCTTTTGTTGAGTTTTGTTTCCTCTTTCTGATGGTTCCTCCTATTAGTTTAAATTTTTACTTACAACTTCACTAATGTGAAAATATGTTTAATGGGAATGTAAATGTATAGCCTATATCAGATTGTGTGCCATCTTGGGGAGGGTGGTGGGGAGGAAGGGGGAGAAAAATTTTAAACTCAAAAGCATATGGAAGTGATTGTTGATAAATCAAAATAAATTAATAAATGAAAAAAAAAGAGATGATGGACCCCACATGAGATTGCCACCAGAGAAACAGGGAGTCTTCCAATGATTTCTAAGCTTAATTTCAGAGATGATGGCACCCTGACATATCTAGAGAAGAATGCTGGAAGTTCATGTTGGACAAGAGGCCTTAGGAAGTCTTTAAAAAAAGCCAATAGGAAGGGCAGGTAGGTGGCACAGCAGATAGAGCATGGGCCCTGAAATCAGGAGGACCTGAGTTCAAATCTGGCCTAAGACCAAACACTTGATACTTATTAGCTGCATGACCCTGGGCAAGTCACTTAACTGCAATTGCCTAAAAAAAAAAAAGCCAATAGAATTCTGATTCTAAAACTAAACGCAAACCAGGCAATTTGAACACTTTTTTGATGTTGTTCATTTTCCCCATTGATGCCAGATTTGCCATGTGTTAAGATGTTGTACGTGAACTGGTGATAGTGCTGAAAACTAAGAAGAAAAGAGCACGAAGCTTTGAAGAGATTTAGCAAGCATTTAATGGGGCAGAAAGTATGGACAGCCCACTGATTGTGCTAAAGCTACAAATTAAGTGGACACTTACTTTCATTCATAGTAATCTAAAAATCAGTTACCAGTATATAGCATTTTATAGGTAGCATGGTAAACATCTCACAACAATTTTAAACAGTAGAATCCATTAGGACTATGGTTATTTCTTATACTTTGTGTTACTACTGGTTATCTGGACCTGCTATCTCTACAGGCACTTCCAATCCCTCTTCTCCTCCTCAACACTCCAGCATGTAAATTAGTTCAAACAAGCCTGGAATAATTGAAATACTCCAAAGTGATCACTTGTTAAGCCATAGATCATGATAGTTCCTGAGGTCAACTCAGCAATTAGGGGTAAATCGTCCTGAAAGTTATTCTAGGCTGAGAGCCATCATAGCTTTCCTGGGCCTACATGTCTCTCCAGCCCGGTAATACACCCAGTACTTGACCTCAGGAAAAAAGACACTCTGCAGCATATATGCCACCTGAGCAAGATGAAACTAGGCCAATTTCCCTTTCATGTGTGATCTGTTGCCTAGAGAATCTTTTTAAGCTCCAACATCCTCTGCTCCCCTATTCTCTCAATCCCTTGGCTCAAACAGAAGTCTTGTGTGTAGCACACTTCTAGTGTCAGCCATCATACAGCCAGATTTCAGAACTGACTGGTGTGGGGAATATGAAGCAAAAGCAGCTTGGACTTCTTATCATATGCTGGAAGCTATCACTTTCTTTCTATCCCCATGCCTATGTCATGAAAGAGAAAGCAGAAGTACATAAAATTTAAAAGTTTTTGCATGAATTGAATCAATGCAGCCAGCATAAGGGAAGGATTTAATTAAGGAAAAAACCTCCACAGCAAATCTCTCTGATAGTCAGATATCATGACATACAGGGAATTGAAACAGATAAATGAGAACACAAGAAGTTCCTTGATAGATAAGTTGCTCAAAGGATATAAACAGGTAATTTCAAAAGGAGAAATGTAAGTTATTAATATCCATATGAAAGAATGTTCCATGTCATTAACAATAAGAGGAACGCAAAACTAAAGCAACTTTGAGGATTTATCTCATACCCATTAAATTGACAAAGATGAAAAAGGACAAAAATAGTAGACATTGGAGGGGGCATGGGAAGACAGAAACTAGTGCATTGTTGATGGATCTGTGAACTGGTTTAAATATTCTGGAAAAAAGTTGGATTACACTTTTTTTAAAAAAAAATCACTAAACTGGACATACTCTTTCTCTTTATAGTGGGAGACATTACTATTGGACATATTTTTTCTTAATCTATTATTTATTTTTAACATTAATTTTTTTAATGGGGCAGCTAGGTGGTGCAGTGGATAGAGCTCCGGCCCTGAAGTCAAGAGAACCTGAGTTCAAATCCAGCCTCACACCAAAAACTTGACACTTACTAGCTGTGTGACCCTGGGCAAGTCACTTAACCCCAATTGTGTGGAAAAAAAAACAGAACCATTAATTTTTTTAAATTTTGAGTCTGAGTTCTCTCTCTCTCCTGTCTTCTCCTCTTCCTATTGAGAAGGCAATAAATGTAATATCAATTATACATGTGAAATCATGCAATACATATTTCCATATTAGCCATGTTGAAAAATAAAGAAAGTAAAAAAAAATATTCTTCAATTTGCACTCACAGTTTATCAGTTATTTCCCAGGAGGTGAACAGCATTTTTCAGTATAAGTCCTTCAGAATTGTTTTGGATCACTGTATTGATCAGAATAGCCAAGTCATTCACAGTTGATCATCGTTACAATATTGCTGTTACTGTTACTGTGTACAATGTTCTCCTGGTTCTGCTCACTTCACTTTTCATTAGTTCATATATGTCTTCCCAGGTTTTTCTAAAATCATCCTGCTCATCATTTTTTATAGCACAATAGTATTCCATCACAATCATATGCTACAAATTGTTCAGCCTTTCCTCAATAGATGGGCATCCCCTTGATTTCCAATTTTTTGCCACTACAAAAAGAGCTGCTAATAAATATTTTTGTATATGTAGGTCTTTTTTTCCTTTTTCTTGATCTTTTTGAGATACAGACCTAGTAGTATTGCTGGGTCAAAGGGTACTGAGAAGATTAAGAGTGATATTGTATCATTTATTTATTGATCTCATTTACAACTAATTGGTTTTGTCTTATGACTGCTTAAGTCATGACAAAGATCTCTGAACTTATCTCAGAAATTCAGCTGTCCTGTAATGGATTAAGTTTAAAAATCCAGCTCTCCTGCTCAAGGAATTTTGTCAACCTTGGGGAATGTGTGTGAACACAAAGGGAGTCGGGCCTGATATCTTTACTCCACCAAGCTATACTTCAAGGATGTCTAGTTTGCTGTTCAAAAGTCTGGGCCACTATCTCACACCTGGATTCAAACTATGAGCACTTCTTAGTTTCATAAAAGAAAGAGGCTGGTTGTTGTTAGCCCCTATTACCAAACTTCCAACCAATCATGTTGCTCCCAATCCCATGATGTCATCTACCCTGTTCTATACTTTGTTCTATGCTCCCCAAAATCTGTATAAGGGGAACTGTTCTTTTGCTTGAGGTCTTTGATTTAAATGGAAGCAAACCATTGACCCATTTACTGAGAGGTTAGACATCTGCCTCAGTTTATCTTTTTGTTAAATTCCAATTGTGACAGAATGCACAGTTTTGTAGCCCTTTGGGCATAGCTCCAAATTGTTCTTCAGAATGGTTGGACCAGTTCACAACTCTACCAACAGCATTAGTGTCCCAATTTTTCTACATCCTATTGGGCATATATTCTAAGAAGGTCAAAGACAGAAGGGAAGGTTATATATAGAAAAATATTTAAAGTAGTACCTCTTAGACCACTGAGAGAAGAATGACTGAAAAGTTATGGTATATGAAAATGGTGGAATATTACTATGCTATAAAAAAAGACAAATATGAAGAAATCAGGGAAATCTGGGGAGATATCTGTATGGTGATGCAGTACAAAAGGAAGCAGAATCATGAAAACAATTTGCATGACAGTTCCTAAGACTTTAAAGGAAAACAGTGAAAGGCTCCAGAACTCTGATCAATGGAGCAGCCAATCACAACTTCAAAGAACTGATAGTAAAGCATGTTTACACATCTGTCAACAGAAGGGGCAGCTAGGTGGCTCGGTGGATAGTAGCACCAGGCCTGTAGTCAGGAAGACCTCAGTTCAAATCTGGACTCAGACACTTACTAGTTGTGTGACTCTGGGCAAGTCATTTAACCCTATTTGCCTCAGTTTCCTCATTTGTAAAATGAGCTGGAGAAGGAAATGGCGAACCATTCCAGTATTTTGGCCAAGATAAATTCCAAATGGGGTGTAAAGAGTTGGACACGACTGAAATGACTAAACAATAGAAAGAACTAGAGAGATGGAATAGAGAGTGAACTAGAGATAGATAATGAGGAACATGGAAAAAACATGTTTCAAACATGGAAAAAAATAAGCAAAACTTGGAGCAGCAAAGCTACTGTAAGCCTGCACTATGTTAGATCTGGAGAATTCTTTGAACCCAGGACCCAGGCAAGCAGTCTAATTTTCTTTCTTGACCCTTTCACTCCCCACCTTCTTTTATGCTCATCTGGGTGCAAGTTGTTTCCATCTAGAATATAAGCTCCTTAAAGGGAAGGAAATGATTCCTTTTTGTCTTTGTATATTCCCAGTGCCTAGCAGAGTACCTCACAGACAGCAGGTGTTAAATTCACATTTGCTGAATTTGTTATGGGGTTTAGACTTCATGCATTTTTTCACTGTTTTATTATTTGTTTAATTTGTTTTTGTTATGATTATTATTTTTGCCACAAAAATTATCTTTTTTTAATGAAATAGCTGTTCACAGGGTAAAAAAAATTCATAGATACCTTTAATGTTAGGAATGACTTCACATTCAACCCAGTCTGTCAAGAGCACCATGGAGGCCAAGTGAGCTCCAGCTGAATGTCCACACAGGTAAATTCCCCTGTGGTGAATCAGACAGAAGGAAAAAGTTGGAGGTTCTCATGGCAGTCTTTGTTTAATCCAACTTTGCAAATGGTTTCCTAAAAGCATCTGACTAGGAAAAAAATTTCGACTTCTCTGGTTATTGCCCAGACATTCCCTCAAATGCTACCCAGCAAGAGATAAGTCTCTGGGGGCAGCTAGGTGGCACAGTGGATAGAGCACCGGTCCTGAAGTCAGAAGACCTGAGTTCAAATCCAGCCTCAGACCAAACACTTGACACTTACTAGCTGTGTGACCCTGGGCAAGTCACTTAACCCCAATTGCCTAAAAAAAAAAAGAGAGAGAGAGAAGACATAAGTCTCTGGCAGACACCCACCTGTTGAATGAGTACTGCTTCTGGATGAAGAGGACACTGCGTCTCACCTGGCTCAGCATCAGATCGATGTTACCTGCAGAGGTGTGACAAATGATGCTTCAGCTTTAGACTAGGACATTCCTCTAACTCTCAAATGCTTCCCTCTCAATTCCCTTACTTACCTTTTGGAACAAGGTCATAAGCCACTACAGCCACTGCTACTCCTGCTGCTGTCAATGGGGGCACCATAAAGGCTGAATAGTCCTTACTGGGGAAGGAAAAACAAGCAACACTGCCTGGTTACCTGTAAGCAAGTTGTCCGGGCAAGGACCACCACCCACTTGGTGCATCTGCAGTGTTTGTTCTGGTTTTACCTGGAGCAAGATACCTCTTCTCTCTAGCACACTGCCCCTCTCAGACAGGGGCTCGGGGCTCAGGGAAAGGGTGAAGGACAGCTGAAATCACTGATAGGCAACACTTAAGTAGCAGCAATTTAGTGTCCTCACAAACACCTCTATTTAGTGTTCTCCCTAGGTCAGGAACGGTGCTAGAACCTAGGGAAAGCAGAACGGTTCCTGCCCCTGCCCCTCCCCCCAACTTCTATGATAATGAGAATAATAATGATGATGATGATGATAATAGCATTTACATAGGACTTCAATGTGCGACCTGCTCAAGGTCACACAACTACTAAGTGTCTGAGGCTGGATTTGAACATAGGTCTTCCTAACTCCAAGTCTAGTATTCTACCCACTGCACCCACCTTCTATGTAGAGTTATATATCCTCTGGCTCACCTTCCTTCTTGCCAGTATCCTCCATGAATAAACAGGAAAAAAGGTAATTCTGAAAGAAATACATACATACACACACATATGTGTGTATATGGTGTGTGATACAAGACATACAAATGAACATCATCAATACAACTTCCTCATTTTGTCAGAGAGGAAATAAAAACCCAGAGATTTGAAGTAATGCATAGCTCTGAATCATAAAATCTCAGAATTGGAAGTAACCTCTGTGATCACCTATCCCTGACCTACTCTAAACATCCCTTAGGCAGATATCCCCCTGTATAACATCCCTAACAAGTGGTCATTCAGCCTCCACTTGAAGGCTTCCAATAATGAGGAATTCGCTGTTTACTTAAGTAGCCCATTCAGTTTTTGGACAACTGATTATGATAAGAAAAATTTCCTTTACATCCAGATTAAATCTGCTTCTAGGAACTTCGACCTATTCAGCCTTCAACTTACCTTCAGAGGTTTTGGCAGGGAAATATATGTCCAGTTTCTCACCATTACCTTCTCCATAAGCGACACCAAGTAGACTCTGTTTGCTCGCCTGGGCTTCCTTGGTAGCTACTCAGGAGAAACAACAAGAAAAAATGTCATGTTAATTGGTTAACCTTAACTACTCCTGTGCCAAGACTTTGTAGGTTAGGTACTCTGTATGAGGCCTGCACTCATTTCTTGCTTGGGCTCAGGTAATACAAAGGATTTTGATCTCAGTTTTAGAGAGATATTTTCACCTTCTCCTCAGACTCAATCCTGCCCTTTAGGTCAGTTCTGAGGGACACCTCTGAAGAAATAACTCCATAGTGTCAACCTGATGACCTCTTGGCCTGAGCCAAGGATTTGACCAGACTGGTTCTTTCCAGGGAGGTCAAATAAAATAGCTATCCATTCATAATGAAATTCAGGGATCTGTGATATATTTTTATCATTTGAGAGACAGTTTTTCAACTTAACAAGTATTCTTTGAATATTAATTACATGGTGATCAGTTGCTATTGGACATGAATCAACAAATATTTATTCAGTGCCACCTATGCTAGGCACTAGAGTACAGAGACAAGAGTGAAAGGGTCCCCTACATTTGTGGATTTTACAATCTAGCCTGGGGAAGCAACATATGAATACTGTATATGGCTCTATAAAAAATATATATGGTGATTTGGGGAGAAAAGCACGTTGGGGGGAAGAGGAGAAGCATTTGAGTTAAGACTTAAGAGAATGAAGGATTCTAAGAGATAGAGATGATGAAGGAATATATTCTAGGGATGGCAATATAAAGCAATAGAACTGGTTCAGAGGAGTCCCAGAGGCAATATAAATCCCTGGGATCAAACATAAATCCCTTCGTTTAGGTTTGAAAGCCCTATGCAGCCTGGTCCTTTCTCAAACTGAATTGCCAAACATTCAAACTCTATTGCTGAGAGTGCAGATCCAATGGGCTGGCCATGTTGTTCAAATGCCAAATATAGGTTTGCCTAAAAGACTATTTTATAAAGAATTCACACAAGGCAAGCACTCACATGGTGGTCAGAAGAAGGGATACAAGGACACTCTGAAGATCTCTTTCTTTGGAACTGGAATTGGTTGGGTAACATGGATGACACAAGAATCTATGAAGGGGTTACAGGGAAGAGAGGGAGAATGCTGGTACAGTAATGAATTGGTCAAGTCCATCTGGAAAATAATTTGGAATTACACAGGTCACTAAACCTTTTATACCCCTCCACCCAGAGATTCCACTGGTAGATATATAATTCAGGGAAGAAAAAAGGAAAAGAAAAGAAGAGTCTTAAACACAAGGCACAGGTAACAGAGAAAATAAGACACAAGGGTTATGTCATTTTCAAACTTTCATATCTTATAAATGGTAAAACAAACAAACCCCTCTTTATAGCTTCTTGGGATGTTGGATACATGTGCCTTCTCGTCCTGTATGACTCTTACAAATGTTCTCATATAAATTCATGATAGGGGTCCACACAAAGTAATAGGGCCTTCTTCATGTTTTCTTAACATTATGTTGCTACCAGTGGAGCAGATGGTTGTTCATCAGTTGTCTCTTTCTATGACCAGCTCATCTTTTCTTTCTGGTTACATATTTCTCCAATGGCATCTGTTTCACTGCTTCTTTTGAACATTTTCTTATTTTATGCTCCAGCCTGCCCACACTTACTACACACTTAACTACAAAGACCTCTGAGTGATCCTACACTTCAATTATTTCAAACACTGTAGTAATCCATGACCTACACCTATATGTCACCAGAATGATAGTACTGACAAAATGGACCTTCCAGGGAGAAGTCTGGGGTCATCAAAAGAGCTGAACAAGTTTCCAAACATTATGCTATTGTACTCATTTGCTTCTGTATATTGTGTACCTAATCTGTTCCACTGATCAACCTATTTCTTACCTGGTAGCATATTATTATGACAATTATGACTTTGTAATATAGTTTGAGATATGATACTGCTAGATAGGCCTCATTCCTTCCTACTTTCTTTCATTAATTCCCTTGATATTTATTCTTGACCTTTTATTCCTCTAGATGAATTTTATTTTTTCTAGTTCAAAGTAATTCTTTGGTAGTTTGTTTGGTGTGACTGAATAAGTAGATTTCGGTATTTTCATTTTCATTATATTGGCTTGGCCTATGAGCAATTAATATTTCTCCAATTATTTAGATCTGTCTTCATTTGTGTAAAGTGTTTTTATAATTGTATTCATATGGTTCCCGTGTATATCTTGACAGGTAGATTCTCAAGCATTTTATGTCATCTACAGTAATTTTAAGTGGAATTTCTCTTTCTATCTCTTCCTATTGGATTTTATTGGTAATATGTAAAAATGCTGATGATTTGTATAGGGTTATTTTATATCTTGAAATTTTGATGAAATTTAGTTTTTTTTATTAACTCTCTAGGGCTCTCTAAGTAAACCATCATATCATCCACAAAAAAGTGATAATTTTGCTACCTTTGCCTATGCTTAATTTCTTTTTTTCCTTTCTTGCTATAATTAGCCTTCTTAGCACTATATTGAATAGTAATGGTGATAATGGAAATCTTTACCCTTGATCGAGTTTATCTCCATTGTAGATAAGGCTGGCTCTTGGTTTTAGATATACTACTTGTCATTTTAAAGAAAGTTATGTTTATTTCCATGCTTTCTAGCGTTTGGTAACAGGAATAGGTGTTATATCTTGTCAAAAGTTTTTTTTCCTGCTTCTACTGATATTTTTGTTATTAATATGGTCAATTATTTTTATAGTTTACCTAATATTGAACCAGCCCTTCATTTCTGTATAAATCCAGTCTGGTCATAGTATACAATCTTTGTTGTTATTTTATTTAAAACTTTATAGCAATATTCACTAGAGGTATAGTTCTACAAGGTTTTTTCTTTTTTGTTTTCTATTTTGACTCTCCCTGGTTTAGGTATCAACTATATTTATGTCAAAGCATGTGGCAGGACTATTTAATTTCCTATTTTTTTCAAACCTTCCATATGGAGTTGGAATTAGTTGGGTTTTTTTTTAATCAAGTAAGCGAAATACTTTTTTTTTTAACAGCTCAGTTTTATTTATTCGTTAGGGGTCTTTTTTGCTTTCAATTTTGTTACTCTTCTTTGATTTTCAGGATTTCTATTTTGGTGCTTAATTTTTTTTTAATGTGTGGTTTTCTCGGTTTGTTTTAGTTGCATGCCCTGTTCAATTATCTTCTCTTTCTGCTATTGATGAAAATGTTTAGAGATAAACTTTACTCTAAGTACTGTTTTGGCTAAATCCCCAAAATTTTGGTTTGTCTCACTGTTGTCATCATTGTTAATGAAATTATTGTTCCAATTATTTTTCCTTTGACCTGCCCATTCTTTAGGATTATTAGTTTCCAATTAATTTTGAATCTTTGCTTTAAAAACCCTTTATTGAATATATTTTTATTGCATTATGGCCCTTAAAAGATGCATTTAATATTTTTGTTTTCTGAATGTATGAGGTTTTAATGCCCTAATAATTGGTCATTTTTCGTGAAGACACCATCACAAGAATACTTCTATCTATTCCCATTCAACATTCTCCAGAGGTCTGTTGTAGCTAAATTTTCTAAAATTCTATTGTTTCTGCATTTTTTTTGGCTTAGCTTTATCTAGATGTGACAGGGGTAAAGTGAGATCCTCTCACAATTACAGTTTTACTGCATGTGTGTGTGTATACCTAGATATGTGTATGTGTGTATACACAGATATACATATACGTGTTTAGTATTGATACTAATCTGTCTATGGTATCTCAGCAAAATGCAGTTTGCCTTTTTATATCTTTTAATTGAGTCTACTTTTGCTGTAGTTTTGTCTGAGATCATGATTGCTACCTCTGCCTTTTTTACTTAAGCTAAAGCGTAACAGATTCTGCTCCAACCCTTTATTTTAATTCTAGACCTATTTTTCTATTTTCAAGTATATTTCTTATAAATAATATTCTGTTGGATTCTAGTTTCTAATCCATTTTGCTATTCTCTATTTTATGGGTGAGTTCATCTTATTCATGTTCACAGTGATAATTGTTAATTGTGTATTTCCCTCCATCCTATTCTTTTCTATTTTTCTTTCTGTCTCCTGCCCCCTTTTAAAAATTTTGTTTTGCTTCTAATGACTTTTGATCCACCCTCCCTATTTTTCCCTCTTTTCCCTTAAATACTTTCCCTCTTATTTCCCTGTTGGGTGAAATGTATTTCTGTATCCAACTGTGTGTTGATAAGATAAAATGAAGACCATGTACAAAATGTAGTTAGTTTAGTGTGAGAATCAGAAGGACCAGATTCTTTCTTATGAATAACTGACTTACAGCTTGGAGACTCAGTGGAGATAAGCAAGTTGATTACTAAAAAAGAAATTCACCAAACCAGGCTTCATTGTGATGAAGAGTGTTTAGCCCTAGAAAGGAAAAGGCGACTAGCAGAGGCTCTTAATATCAGTGAAAGTTCTGACCCTTTTAATGTACGGTCTGGGTCAAGATACAGTGATAGCCTGAAAGAAGATGCTAGGAAGGACTTAAAATTTGTCAGTGATGTTGAAAAGGAAATGCAAGCTCTTGTGGAAGCTGTTAATAAGGGAAAAAATGTTAAGAAAAGTCATTGCTACCCTCCTATGAATAGAGACCATCGAAAGCTCATCTATGAGTTGGCCCAGGTTTATGGTATTGAGAGTGTGAGTTATGACAGTGAACCATCTTGTACTACCACATGTATTCTAATCCATTTTGTTGTTTTTCAATTATTCATCTCGTGGGAACTAGATGACATATATGTCATCTGTTGTTTTATATATGCAAGTGGATGTAATTAATCAACATCTTGGGGCAACTAGGTAGCACAGTGGGTAGAGCATAGGCCCTGGAGTCAGGAGGACCTGAGTTCAAATCCAGCCTCAGACAACACTCACTAGCTGTGTGACTCTGGGCAAGTCATTTAACCCCAATTGCCTCACAAAAAAAAAACCCAAAACTCTTCATTTTATGAATAGAGGACTCCCAAACCTACTCATCCCCCTCCCAACTGGACTGAAA